AGGAAATGTTCAATCACAATTGATGAAGAAGTGATTGAACATTTCGTTGATTCTTTTCGAAAACAAACAAATTTTGGATAATCAAAGTGAAAGTTCCCGAGAAAATGACACTGTCATCATCATCAAAAACGTTTCTAGTCAATATTGATTTATTTGTAGTGAAAAACAAAAATTGCTATTCCACGGTATCCTGTAATTTCATCAATTTAACACCTAAGTAGAATGAGTGAGTGAGAAAACAAAACGAAAAAAGCGATTCTTAATCAGATGACGACGCCCTTGACGTTTTTTATGTTGATGGTGATCATCCATATGATTATTAACACTGTGTGGACATTGATAAGAAACTCTTGTTATCCATTTTCATTTACAAAGTGTGTATGAGGGAGAAAACTACATAGGAAAAATGCTAATTATATGTCCCTATTTTTCCTTATGTAAGATATCCATATTTTGATATTAATAATATTTGATGACAGAACACATGTGGCTGTCAAATTTTCATTCATTCAAAAAAATGTTTTGATTTCTGTCAATATACAAAATGAATCATCAGTGTGTTTTTTTTGCAATTCTGTAAGCAAAAAGGTGATAAAATTCATAATTTTTTTCGAAAATAAAATCATTGAAAAAGGTCATTGGACTACATTCAAAATGAAACTGTTTTAGAGAATTTGGATGACCAAATCATTGAATTGTTTTTTTTCTCCTTAGAAGCAGAATATTTTGACACTAATGATAATTTTAGTTTGTTTGTTTGTTTTATTCGTGATCAAATGAAATTATTCAAAACTTGACAAACTTCATGTGTCAAACAAATATATTTTACCCAATAAGTAAGATTTGTTTGTTTTTCAAATATTAATATTGCGTGTATCATTTAGCTTATTACAAAATAATGATGATTGGAAAAAGCAAAACAAAAAAGCTTATTTTTTGACAATCACAACGCGTGTTTCTTCTTAATGACATTTCCGAGATATAAGTAAGTATTAATCAAAATTCGATATCTTTCAATAACTATGCTACATTATTGACGATTGAAACAAACAAAACGAAAAAGATAAAATGAAAAAACAATCAGACACGTGTCATGTGAAGATAAAACAGAAAAACCGATATGATTGGAGAATATTCTGGATTCATTTGAACAGAATATGAACCGTATGAATAAATAAAATCGAACAATGTAAACATAGAGAAACAAAAGGGTTATCTTCATTATTATTATAATGTTTTTTGGCTATTTTCACACTAGCGTGTGTGTCATTGAGAATTTTTTTTTCATCATTAACATTTGTTGTTCCAACGAGAAAAAAAAAGTTAATCTTATTATTATGATGATACCATGTACAAATTATTAGTGTATTTTGTTTGCTCTTGAAAATTTTTCGTCTCGGACAAAAACAACAACAATGGACACTGTATGGAAAATAGATAACCAGAGAGAGAAAAAAAAACAGAAAGAAAGAATTGATAACATTATTCGCTAAAAACAAAATGAATGAATGAAAAGATAAATGAATGTTGCCCGTTGTTGTTTCATTATTATTGAGATTATCATTGTTTGGATTCAATATTTTCAAAAGGGAGAGAATAGAGAAGAGATGAATAGAAAATGAAACACAAATAACCGTCACACACACAAAACCAGCGTACAAAACACACACACACACACATATACCGCTAATAAACTATGGTTTTTGGTATGGTGGAATATATCAGCTATACTTATCAATTAATAATGAGAATATTTAGATATTTAGATACCCAAAAAAACAACGAGAACAACATATATATGCTTTTCAGTGTTTTTGGTTTAGTAATGTTTAACACTACACTAAACTATTGAATAGAAAGAATTTGGCATCTGCCATGTAATATTCTCTTCTATTATTTTTCGCCTTTTTTCGTTTGAAAATGAAAATTTTCACCCGAATCATATTGCCCATAGGGTTATTGTATAGACACATAGGGCCTGGAAAAAAATTAGGCAGAAAAAACAACAACAAAGTGAACAACATTGAATTCTGGGTCCTAGAATGAATTAAACAGGAAAAAAACTTTGATATATTCAAATACACGATGATCATGATGATGATCATCAGATGTTACCAGAGAAAAATTTTTTTTTCTGTAGAATCGTTTATTGTCGAACGATTCATAAATGTTCAATAATTCAAATTAAACAATGAAAAGAGAAAAAAGCCAGAATTTTCGGTTGGCGCAATTGTGTAAAGAGAAAATTCAATTGAAAAAAAATTGCAAAGCCAGCATTCATTTTCGGATACGTGCAAAAGTTGGCTGTTTTGCTGTGTGATACCGATTCCTCGGGTCACAACAGCAACAAAAACGAAAAAAAACCGACCATATTACACACACACACACATGGGACTTTTATACATTGTATTTCGATTCATTTACAGTATTTTAGAGATGAATAAGTGAATGTGAAATGAAAAACTGTACCAAAATCAAACTACCACTAATAAATTTACTAAAATTATCATCATCAAAGGTTGTTAATTACAACTAATTTGGATTGAAATAAATCGAATAATGGTAAAATGAAATGTATCTAGATAGGAAATATGAGAAAAGGTTTTTTTTGTTCCAAGGTTTAAATTAAAGATTAATGCTTATTGAATTTATTAATGATGATGATGATGGACTGATTGAACATCTACAGAATATTTGAATAACCAAATAATAACATACATTTGACTATACACAGACATATTTTCAAAATTTTCTCACATTTTCAATGATAATATGAATATGACAAACCAAAAAGAAAAGATGAAAGAAATAGAATGACCAAATTATTGGTATCATTTTGGTTTCTGGTTTTGGTTTTTGATATGATTAATAATTGAAAACAATACTCGCATATAGAACAAACATTACCTTCACATTTTTTCGTCTACTTGTTTTGTTAGTTTCTATTTTGGATCATTCCAAAAAAAATGTTTATATTTTTTCGTTTTTTTTTGGCTACTTTCAATACATCACACATCCTGTGATGAAAGTCAAGTGTGTGCCTGTGTGTGTGTGTGTGTAAATGTAGGGAGAGAGACCCAAAATTGATATTTTTGCTGCTGTTGTTGTTTCGCTTTAACATTTGATAATAATAGCAATTTGCTATGGACAAATGTATGATAAGCAAACAAACAAACAAACAAACAAGAGAAAAAAAAGTAAATTTGTTTGTCCAAATTTATTTTTATGTTTGCATGTTTACATTCGATTGATGTTTATGATGATGATGATGATGATAATGAAATGAAATGTAACGAATCGGTAATTGACATCCCGAACAAACAAAAAAAATATCAATGAAAAAAACACATGCACACATTCATTGTTTATTTGGATTCATTGTAACGGAAATTTACCACATAAACCAAAAAAACAAAACAAAACACGAAACAAAACACGCACATCAATCTAATAACATTGAGAAAAAAAATGTATAGCAAAAAAGCAAAACAAAACAAAAAATACTTTTTCCATTTTGAATTGAATTGAAACATTTAATATTGGATGAATCAGAAAGAAGAAGAATGTATCCAAACGTGAAAATAATACATAAATATGATGATTTTTTTATAAAAATGATACATTTCAAGTATATTATTATTATGGATTTTTTTCAAAATTTTTCATTTCATTTCTATTTAGGTATCCAATATAAGTTTTTTTTCTGTGTTAATCTCATGTTTGTTCATCATAACATGACAGCATGCCATTTTGAATTCCATAAATGGATTATTATATTCTTGAAACACCCACAATTCAATTATTTATCGAACCTATCATATATAGTCAGAAGCGAAGCTCGTGGCCTCGTAAAACAAAAACCTGAATCAATGAATTCATTTGATTGAATCATTGATTCTTTTTCAGGAAATTTACCAGATTAATGTATGTGTGTGCATAGAATACATAAAACAATCGACAAAATACAAAATCAGAAATCAATATTATTCACAATTGAAAAATGAAATTTTCCTAGGAATTTTTCATTGAAAGTTTTATTGTTTTACAATTACCCAAAACCATATATCGACCTCTACAGGGTATTTGATGATTGTCAACTGGTATGCCATCAAATATAAAAGCAGATTCAAGTCAACATAGTTTTGTTGTTCTGTCGCTTGTTTTATGTGAATCATATTGTATTATTTTATTATGTTTGATTTTCTTAATTTCTCATCAATAAATAAATTATTTCATATTTTCCAATGAGTGTTCGTTACAACGTGGTTTACGCGTTACATAATCCGGAAACTGTCATCATTCTCATTATTAATGTTTTTTATTCACAAAATTTCGGCCAAGCATATCAATTTTTTTCATTTGTTTGTTTTTCTTCAGAAAAAAAACGATGATAATAAAATACTAAATAAAGAAAAGTGAAAAGTGAAGATTTCCATTATTGATAAAATCACAGGGTTTTTTTTAAAAAAAACAAAGTATTTGCAGTCTGCAAAACCCTCATAAAGATTGTATGATGAAATACAAAATGATGAATTGTTTAAAAGATTTTTCAATTATCATTTTTTCCTAAATTGTTTTGTTTGAGTATGACTTTAGAAAATTTAGGAAAAAAGAAACCTTCAAATTTTTTTTTGTCAACATTTGTTTGGTGAAAAGTGAAATGAATGCCCAAAAAAATCGATTCAAGTGAAATTTTTTTTCACTTCCTATAATTTTTACTCATACATTTCATATTTTTGACAAATTAAACAAAACATTTGAAGAATTGAAAAATCCAGACATTAATACTGGTTATTGTCGATTATATCTTTGGTGTAAGCTGTGTGGTGTAACCGAGAATCAACGTGATTTAAAAAAAAAAAAAATAATTCAAATTTTTTACTGTCAAATTTAATGAATCGTAAACGAATAAATAAATAACAGATACAAACAAAAATATGAATCATTCATCATTTGAATTATTCATACCAATGATGAATAATCATTTAAAAATGTTGAAAAAAAATTTTGAAAAATTATTCTATGAACATATATTCAGTTTATTTTATTATAATCGTTTAATATTGGAAAAATGGCCAAATTTATTTACAATCAATTATAATGGTAATAATAATAATAAGGAAAAAATTTTCAATCAAAAAATTCAACGACCATTTTTACATGTAATTTTACCCGGTTTAATAACAACATTATTCGCTATAACATTATTAATCTATGTTTGTCAACCTGTTTGGTGTGAAAATTATAATTTTTGGTTATTACATAATTTTGTACCGGAAAATTGTAAAATTTATTCATTAATTGTTGGTATGACATGGTCATGGATACATTTTTTACAAATGTTTTTCGGTTATCGTCAACGATTAAAATATTTTCGTTTCCTAATCATATTGAATTTGAATCAATTAAATGGACTTAATGAACATGATCGTTATAAATTACGTTTATTTATGGAAATAATATTCATTGGTTTAAAAATAGTAAGTCATATTATATCGATTGGTGCATATTTAGCAATGACCGTACAGGTATTCAATAAATCATTATGGAATATATCAATTTTATGGTTATTATTTTGGATGATTATCTATATATTTTGGCCATATTATATATGTTCAGCATTATATATGTTTCCGGCATTTATACTTCCAATTCATTATTATATTGAATTGAAACAAAAATCAATTAATCGAAAAATTTTTCAATTAAAATATTCAACACAAACAAAACAACGATTCGGAAGAATTCCACAAAAAATTATCCGAGATTTTTTGCAATTAAATCAAAAAAAAATGCAAAATAGTGATGAAATTGTTGATATTGATATACAATCAAGACGTTTATTGACAATATTGTTTGTTGGATTTAGTATATTAATTACATATATAACATATTTAATATTTTTTGCAAAATTAACATTTGTTTATCGTTTATTATTCATTGTTGTTTATTTGGGTCATTCATTTACATTATTATCAATGATTTATAGTAGTTCAAAAATTGTAACAAAAAATGAACAATTTCATCGATTAAATCGAAAATGTTTAGATAATTTTTATATGAATAATTTATTGAATTTAAAAAATTATTACAAGGTAAATAGTTGAATGAATATATTTGGTTTGTTTGTTTTTTTACTAAAATCCTTTTTTTCATTTCAATTTACAGTATGAATCATTGAATGAAATATCATTACATAATCCAATTGGTTTTACATTGATTAACAATATGTTAATTACTAAAAATACATTCATTATGGTTTTCTATAATATTAGTACATTATTTCTTTTATTAATGAATGGTGAAATTGTCAAACAATAATCATATGATGATGATGATGATGATCATGAAAAGTACATATTCATCAATGAATTCCAATGTAAAAGGGAACAAAAACAAATAATTTTACCATTAAAAAACTTTTATCAAAAGTGTTTATTGATTAGTTTTTAATTGTGTCTAGGAATTTTTCTTCTTTTTCTTCTTCTTTGTTTCACTTTAATTAAGACACAATTTTTAATTGTTATTATTTTGTTTTCACAAATTTCAAGAATTTAATCACTATTTTTCCGTCCAAAAATCATTTATCAACAAGAAAAAAAATGAAAAGAAAGCGAAATGATGACGAAATTTCAAAAAAAAGTTTCCGGCTCAAATAGATTGAATTGGGGGAGAAGGGGAAATCAAATGATCATTTTTAAATGTCAAAATTTATTTTGTGTTTGATTTTTTTCTCTGCTATTTAAATAAATAAAATAATTTTCGTTTGTTGAATGTGTAATCTATATTATCAAAATGCAAAAAAAAAAGTAATTTTCAAAATTTTTTCTTTATCAAGTCAAACAATTTAATGATGAAAATTTTGGAAGAGAAAAGAAAAACCTGGTACTTGTATAGATAGGATTTTTTTTTTTTTTTTTTTGGTTCTATAGAATCAAGTACGTTGAAGATGAGAGGAGAAAATGAAATAATGATTCAAATAATGAAATCATCAATTCGGTTATCGTCATATTTTTCTTCTCTGGTTTGGTCCATATATTTGAAGAAAAAAATGACTTATATTGATCATATGTGTGAATCTCAGTAACTACAGTTTTTTTTTCTTCAAATAAATATATGTGTGACGAATGTGAATTTTCACATGAATGAAATTAATGTGAACCAGAATGAATACCATCATGATTGTTGTTGATAATGGTATTTTTATGAGAATTCATTTCATTTCTTTTTTAAGAAAAAAAACGTAATAAAATTTTTTTTTCTTGAATTATTATTTTTGTTTCACTCATTCACTCACTATATTCATTCAGAAAACAAACCAAACATAATAATAAAATGTCAAAGAAAGAATATTTCGAAAAATTTCATGAACATATATTTCCATTATTTCATTATAATCGTATTATATTACAAAAATGGCCAGATTTTCATCTGATCGAAGATAACAATTATGTAATACCAAAAATTTTCGATCAACCAATTGGACGTCCATTTTATCATGTTAAAATACCCGGTTTGGTAACAACATTTGTTGGTTTAACATTATTTCTTTATATATTGGATCCGAATTGGTGTCAACAATATTCATTTTGGTTGATAGCAGAATTTGCACCTAAACATGGACAATTATATACATTAACAGTATCAGTTATATGGTCATTGATACATATGCTGCAAATGTTTTATGGATTTGGTACAAATTTATGTGATTTTATCTTTCTTAAGATACTTAATCTTGATCCATCAACATTAACCGAAACATTGAAAAATGATATAAATAAACGTCATCATAATCATAAACATCAACAACATTCAACAGATCGATTAATATTGAATATTAAACAAAGACAACAATTAAAATCATTTGAAAAACGTATGTTTTTCGGTCTGAAAGTAATAAGTCATTTGATTGCTGCTGTTGGTTATACAGTAATGGCAATACAAATTACATTAAATTCACTATGGCAAAGATCAATTTTTTGGTTAATTATTTGGATATTCATCTATGCTAGTTGGTCATATTATATTTGTTCTGCATTATATCAATTTCCATCAATATTCATTTCGATATCATATTATATTCGATTGAAACAAAAATCTTTACAAAAAAGAATTGAACGTTTAAATCAATTAATAAAATTATCAACAAGATTTAATCAACAACAATATGAATATCGTATAACAAAATATTTTATTCATTTGAATGGTATGCATTCATATATAATGAAAGAAATTGATGATATAAATAATCAAACTAAACGTATAACAACAATTTTATTGATTAGTTTAACAAATCTTATTACATATCTAACATTTTTGATTTTTTTCGCTGAAATGTTTCCATTATATCGTTTGTTATTTATAATTGTTTATTCCGGTCATTGGTGTACATTATTATCAATGATTTATAGTTCATCAAAAATTGTTAAAAGAAATCGACAATTTTATCGATTCAATCAACAATTTTTAATCAATTCATATTCAAAAGGTTTAATAAATGTTAAAAATTTTTACAAGGTAAATATTTCAATTTGATAATTGATAATTTCAATTTAATTTTCTTTTCTTTTTTAAAGTATATATCAATCAATGAAATATCGATGAAAATACCATTTGGTTTAACATTAACCAATAATGTAGCTATTACACAGAATACATTTACAACTGTATTCTATAATATGAGTACAATATTATTTTTAATAATGAAATAATAATCAATGAAAACTTTAACCATGAAACAAAAACAATTTCCATAAAACTTATTGCAATGAATACCGAAAAACAAAAAAGTCAAATTTTTTTCCCCCAAACAACGAAAAAAGAATGAATTCACTATTACAAACATGAATGTCAAAATTGTAAAATTTGACCGAATAACGATCATTACAATTTTCCTATTAAATAATAATCATTTCATTTTGAATAAAAATGCAATTTGTTAAAAATTTTTTATTGTTAAAAACCAAATGAATTTTCAATAATCAATATTCAGATTTTTTGTTCTTGAGGGAGAGAAAAAGATTCTGAACACATGTTTTGTTTTTCGTGATAAACAAAATGTGATTAACAAAAAAAAAAAAACAAACTTTGATATCAGTTATATTAGTTTAGATTTTGATTTGAATCAAAACTAAACAATTCCAAAAAAAAAAAACCAAAACCAAATATATGATGGCAACAATATTTGATTATGAAATTTATTTATGGAAACGTATGATGACAATGAAATATTATCGTAATATTCATAATCATGTAATAATTTTATATCATTTTGATGAATTATTACAAAAACAACAATTAAAAATCAATGATGATTCACGTATTTCACGTTCATTCATACATCTAATAATGCCATGCATTAGTAATGCAATATTTATATTTGTTGCAATGTCATTTGTTTTATGGAGTGATGATTTAGAACGATATGCATTTTTTAATACATTGGCATCATTTTTTCCGATTGATGCGAGAAAATATAATCTTACTGTTATTACTGTATGGGCAATTATTGTTATATTACAAATGTTTTATGGTTTATCAACACGTATCGATAAGTATAGTTTTTTAAATATTCTTCATATTGAAACAAATAAAAATGAATATAAATTAAATGAACATTATCATCAACAATGGTTTATTGTGATTCGTGATCGTTTATTATCGCTAAATCGATGTTTAATATTACACACAGAAAAATAAAGTCGTAAAATATACGGCAAAATTCATAACATTTTTGGGTTTTAACGTCATCCACAAAATGTTATGGTTTTTTTTCTTTTTTTGTATTTCTGGGCAAAATCCATGAAATATTGAGGCAAAAAACTCAAATATTTGTGGCCAAAAAATCATGAAATATTCTGGAAAAAGACCTAATATTTCTTGGAAAAATCCATGAAATATTCTGGAAAAAGACTGAATATTTTTGGGCAAAAAATCATGAAATATTCTGGTTAAAAATATTTTTATTTACAAAAAAAATGCGAAATAAAAGAGAAAAGAAAGATAAATTTAGCCGACTAAGGTGACATAAAGATCATTTTTTAAATTCATAAACAAAAAGTAAACAAGTTAATCAGTGAATAAAATTATAAAAAATTAAGATTATTGGCCAAGGATAGATTGAAATTCTCCGATTTGTTTGCTTTATTTTCCAGATTATCGCTCAAATCATGGCTATGTGATTTCTAATAATTTATCATGAATGGATGAATCTTCCTTGGTTGCCCTCAGTTCACCACTGATGCTTGCTTGAGTTCCATATCGCTTCCGATTTCTCGTTCGACCGTTGGAGATTTCCTTATCCAGCCACAACGCTTTCTATTGTTTTTTCCATGCTTTGAGCCGTTACACAAAATAATATTTTCTGATTCGAAAAATAGTCAAATGGCAAACGAAAAACAAAAACTTCGTTTAAAAACAAAAATGCTGGATTCGAATTATTTCAATTGTTTAATTGAATTATNAGGTTAACAGTTGTTTACAAAGCCAGTTAACAACAGCCACTAGTTTTGGCTTCATGATCAAATTGCAGCATTTGACCCCTTCACATTTTTTAACCAGATTAGATATTAGTCAATTCGATTGGAACTCATCGTAGACAAATGGAGGAAGATCCAATCCAATACCTTCTTCTTTAGCCCTATTGAAAAAAATTTGCTTAGGAAACATCCATTTTGTCTGTATGATTATTCTGACCGGAAGATAGGATAGGATAGAATTCCATTCTCATTGAAACGTGGTTTCAAATCAATCATTTTTTTTGTAGATCCAACTTCGCAAATTCATTGCAAACGCGATATGTTTGGCCGAGTGTCAAATTGTACATATTTTATTATGAAATTTTGATTAATCCAAAAAATGAAAAAAATTTTCTAAGTCCAGAAATTTTTCATGAAATATTGAGGCAAAACAAAAAATCCATGAAATATTGGGACAAAACAAAAAATCCATGAAATGTTTGGGCTGAGTATAAGATTGGCCAAAAATCATGAAATATTCTGGAAAAAAATCCTAATATTTCACGATTTCAGTTTTCCATAAAATATTGAGGAAAAAAACCATAACATTTTGTGGATGACGTTAAAACCCAAAAATGTTATGGTTTTTTGGCAAAAAATCGAACTATTTTACGTTTCATTTTTCTGTGTGTAACATTTTGTTTTGTAACACATTTAGTATGGATAATATTGTTGATTATGAGAAAAATGTTAAATATTTCAATTATATGGTCTTTATTTTGGTTTCTAATTTTTCAACTAAATGCCTATTATATTTGTTCAGGTTTGAATTTCAATTTCATTTTTGTTGTTTTTCATCTAATTTTTCAATCTAATTTTTTAATTTATAAAGCAATATATCAATATTCAGCATTCATAATCATTATACAATGGTATTTGATATTGAAACAACGATCATTGAATAAATTGATTGATCAATTTTATCAAAAATGGATTAATGGAAAAAATTTAAAAGATCGAAATGCAAATATATTTCGACAATATCAATATGAACAGATTAATAATCGTTATGGTAATCTAATCAAAGAGATTTCAATTTTAAATAATCAAATGAAACGTTTTCTAAGCATATTATTCGTTGGTTTAATGTTATTATTAACATATTTAGCTTGTTTAATATTTTTAGTTGATCTAATACCTGGCTATAAATATCCATATTGTTGTTTATTTTGTAATCATACATTGATATTATCAATATTTATTTATAATTGTTCAAAAATTGAACAACAAAATCGTTTATATTTAAAAATTAATCGAAAATGTTTGGATCATATTCTAAAGAATTCAAGACAATTTTTCAAGGTAAATTATCCAATAATCAATCAATCAACATTAATATAATTCATTTCATATTCAAAAAAAAAAAAAAAAATAGTTACATGAACTTAATGATACATTATTGAGCAAACATCCCGGTTTTTTATTAGTAAATGGCGTAANAAAAGGTTTAATAAATGTTAAAAATTTTTACAAGGTAAATATTTCAATTTGATAATTGATAATTTCAATTTAATTTTCTTTTCTTTTTTAAAGTATATATCAATCAATGAAATATCGATGAAAATACCATTTGGTTTAACATTAACCAATAATGTAGCTATTACACAGAATACATTTACAACTGTATTCTATAATATGAGTACAATATTATTTTTAATAATGAAATAATAATCAATGAAAACTTTAACCATAAAACAAAAACAATTTCCATAAAACTTATTGCAATGAATACCGAAAAACAAAAAATGATATATTATTGAGCAAACCATCCGGTTTTTTATTAGTAAATGGCGTAACAATAACATCGCATACATTTATAACGGTATTTTTTATAATGATGATAATAATAATAATATTGATTATGTCGTTAAAATTTCTTCTTTTTTTCATTATTATTACCAAAAGGTTTTCGTCAATATGAGCACTTTTTTCTTTCTGATATCGACAAATATTTCTTGAACATTGTCTTGGAAATGGCTGAAAATTTAACGATGAAAACACAAAAATTTCTCAATTCATAATCAATAATAATTTTGAATAAAATAACAATTATTTTTAGGCAATTTTTAGTGAATTTTGAAATTTGAATTTTTATTTTTAAATTTGAAATTTATTATGATCAATAAATAAATAATGAAAATTTTGAGAATTTTTCCAAATGTTTTTTTGTTCCGAAACTCATTTTGAATTTCTTTTTTCAGGGGAAAAATCGAATCGAAATCAAATTGAAAACAATTCTGTTTTTCATTATGAATTTGACAATCATTCCATAAGTAGTTCATTCTGTGAATATTCAGACTAAACTTGACAAAAAAAATTCAAACAATGAATTTATTAGATTTAGAGACAAGATTATGGCAAAAATGGATGCATAATTCCATTTATTATCGTCGTATTCATAATCATATTAATCAATTATTTTATTATAATGATTTTATACGACAAAAAAATGCTCGTTTGATGAAAAATATTGATTATGATCGATTGGATATTGAAACAACGAACAGGAAAAAAACAACAACAGAAACGAATAATAATATAATTCCACGATCATTTATAAATGTAATCATACCGGGTATGTTTAATATTATATTTGTTATTGGTGCATTACCATTTGTTTTACAATTGGAAATATTGAAACATTATAAATTTTTTCAAATATTACCACAATTTATACCAAAAAGTGGTCCAAGATATGTATTAACATTGAATGTTATTTGGTCAACAATGCAATTTTTTCAAATGTTTTATGGAATTTCAACACGAATCGAAAGATATAGTTTTTTATATCTTATAAATTTGAATGATGATCATCATGATAATGATGGTCGACTTGAATCGACAATTGAATCAAATCAATTTCGTTTGTTTCGTAATCGATTATTATCAATAGAAAGATGTTTAGTAATATCGATTGCAACTATTGGTCCATTATTAATGCTGTCAATGATTATTAAACATTCAGCATGGAAAATATCTATTTATTTGACAATATTCTGGGCATTTGTATTTCATTGTTGTATATGGTATATTTGTTCAAGTACATATCAATTTCCAACAATAATTGTTATTGTACAATATTATTTAATATTAAAACAAAAATCATTAAAACAAGAAATGTATCAATTTCAAAATCGTCTATATAATAATTTAAAACAGAATAGAAAAATACAATGGATGAGATTACGATTAATACAATTGAATCAAGATTTTATATGGATACAAAAAGAAATTGCATCATGTGATCAACAATTAAAACGTTATCTAAATATATTGTTTATTGGTTTTGACCTGTTAATTACCTATTTAACTTGTTTAATTTTTCTAGTCAATTTAAGTATTGAATTTCTTTTAATCTATACGTTAATATATTTTGCACATATTGGTTTGTTGGCAATTTTGATATTTAATTGTTCAAAAATTGTACATTTTAATCGTGAATTTTTAAAATTGAATAAAAAATGTCTTTATTCGATGAAAGCAAAGAGTGTTTTGACAGATAGAAATTTTTATAAGGTATAATTTCCAAAACGAATCAATCAATTTCATTATTTTTTTTACAAATTTTTTCTTCCCATTCTAGTTGGATTCAGTAACCAATTTGATGTTGGAAAAAACATCTGGTTTTTCATTATTCGATGGTACAGTGATTACATCACGAACATTTTTTACTGTAAGTTTTAATAATAATGATATTTTTTATTTTACTTCAAATTAAAACATTAACTCTATTTTTATATTTATAGCTTTTTGTTAATATTAGTACATTTTTCTTTTTGGTTTCACCACAAATTGCTTGATATATAATGAAGAGACATAAAGACAAAGGAAGTTTGGATCATCAAATTTTTCTTCTTATTTTCTTTTTCGATTAATCATGTTTTATGCAAATCAAGAAAACGAATAAAAAAAACATTATTTTTCTCCAATTTTCAATTTTTTTTTTCACATTAAAAAATCTAAATGGTACATTGAATTCAAAAACAAAACGGAATTTATTAACTAGAACTGTATACACAAACAATTAGAACCAAATCAGACAACAGAAAAACAAGATTTAAATTTGATTTTTATTTTCATATTTTTTTTATTTTTTTCAAGAAAAAAACATTTAAAATTTCTGATCTGATCTATTAAACTTAACACTTGAATTAACATGAAAATCATAAACAACTAATGTTTTTGAGTAAAAAATAAAATGTACAAACGTTGTTATTGTTAGTTGTCTTTTTCTTTTGCGTACTACAAATTATTGTCATTGTCTCATATGCTTCGGAAGAAGGAAAAACAAAAAAACAAAAAAAAAACTTGAATCTTTTTTTTTGGAAACAAAAAACCCGATGAAAATATGAATATTCTTGATTGGGAAATAAAGAATTGGCGAAAATTAATGAAAAATAAATATTATCGTTATATACATAATAATATTAATAATTTATATCATTATGATGAAATAATACGAAAAAATTATTATCCATCAACAACAACAACAACAACAGAAGAAGTTTTGTTTATCGAAAATGAACAAATCAAAAATTCGAATGAAAAAATTAAACGTCCATTTTGGAATGTAACCATACCTGGTTTGATTAGTTGTGCTTATTTTTTCGGTTTAATTGTATATCTAATTTGGCCGGATATTGTTAATGTACATCCATTTTTTCTTATTGTACCAAGTATGGCACCAGCTAATATACGTATTTATTGTTCAACAATGAGTTCAATATGGGCTGCTAATTATATTGCATTGGTTTTCTATGGTATTTCCACTCAACTAAGACAATTTCAATTTTTACATTTATTACATTTGAATAAATCAAATGGTCGTGGTTTAGATCAAAAAAATTTACAACGTTTACGTTTATATCGTGATCGTTTATTTTCATTAGAACGATCAACATGTACTTCGGTTACATTATCAGCATGGTTTGCTGTTGCATTCAGTATTATACAACAAAAACTTTGGGAACATTCATTATTTTGGTTGATTGTATGGGAATTGATTTTTTTACTATGGGTTTGTTATGCATGTTCAGGTAAATCAATCCTTGTTGTACCATAAAATTGTTAGAAAATTTTATTCTATTTTTCATTTTTTTTTTTTTTTGCAAAGGTTCCTATCAATTTCCAGCATTCATCTTAATCGTTAAATATTATTTGATTTTGAAACAAAAAATTTTACAACGAAGAATGCAACGATTTTTTATGCGATTAATGTTATTGAATAAAAAATCAATGCAAAATGTTCAATATGAATTTCAACGATTAAATTCATCATTTGTTGAATTACAGAAAGAAATTAATTTTAATAATATACAATTAGAACGATTCATATCGATATTGTTTGTTTGTGATTCAACAGTAATAACCTATTTGACTTGTGTTTTATTTTTAGCTTGGATGCCTATCCTATTCGTTATTCTTTATTTAATTATTTATATTGCCCATCTAATTGCATTAACAACATTTATACAATATGGTTCAAAAATTGAAAATTTAAATAAAGATTTTCTTCATTATAGTCGAAAATGTTTTATTAATAAACATCAATGTTTTAATCTAAAATATTTACTTAAGGTAGGATATCTAATACTTTGGTTTGTTTGTTTGAATTCATTATAATTTTAATTTAAAAAAAAAATATAGCAAGAATCTGTTACAAGTACAATGTTTAACAATCCAATTGGTATGAAATTTTTGAATGGTAGTGTCATTACATCAAGAACTCAATTGACTGTATGTATGACAAAAAAAAACAAATTTGGTTTCTTTTTTTTTGAAAATTTATCGTTTTCTTCATCTTCCTAAATTTAGATTATGGTCAATATAAGTACATTTTTCTTTTTGATTTGTCGAAATATCACCTGAATATAGAAAAAAAAAACAGGATGGTCACTTTTTTGAACTGGAATTGCATCCAATCAATCAATCAATCGATCGATCGATCGATCGATCAATTACACATCAAAAATATTAAAATTATTAGTAATTTTATTTTTTGTAGAATAATGACTTTGACTAACAAAATCAATAAAAATTAGTTTTATTTACACGAACCAATGACTAACTTTTTCTTTTAAAATTTTAAAATTTTTATTTTTACCAAATCAAATAAAAAACAATGTTTGATAGATATGCGCATTTCAATAAAGAAAGAAAATTTTTTGGGTATATGTAAAACCAATGTACCTTTTTTGTTTGTTTGTTTGTTTTTGCTATTTCGAACGACAATAAAAATCAAAAATCAAACCTATGTTCCAAGAAATATTGCGAAAATCAAAAAACAAATCTTACATTACATTCATTTGTCTGATCATCATCATCATCAATCAAACAAACATTGTAACTGATTTCCTAGAATATTTTTTTCAACTAAAAAAAAAAATGATTAATATTTTTGAATATGAAACGCATTTATGGAAGCGTTTAATGCAAAATGATTTGTATAAAAAATTTTATAATCATATATTCATTATACATCATTATGATGATTATATTTGTAATAATTATCCATATATTTTCAATGGACAACAACAAATATTCAATATAAAATCCAATACAAATATTCCAAGATCATTTTCAAATTTTATAACAACAATATTAACGATAATTATGTTATTGGAAACATCATTATATTCATTTTTTCCAGATTTTTTTGATCAATTTTTATTTACACGTACATTACCGAATATGATACAAACAAAACGTTATGCAATGAGTGTTGGTGCAATTTGGTCAACATCAATTCTACTACAATATTATTATGGTTTTTCAACCATTGCTGAACAATTTGGTTTTCTGCATATATTTCATTTGGATAATAATCATATTGGTAGATTGAATAATTTGGAAATTCGTCAACTTAAATTCATTCGAAATTATATGCATACAATTATAAGATTTATAACAATATTTATTGTTATTTTTGTTATAATTGTTGTTGGTTTAAAATCTATTGAACAATATGAATCAACATTATTATCATTATTTATAACAATATTCTGGTATTTTGGTATTGTAATGCTTGCATTTTATGTTTGTTCGGGTATGTTTTTTTTTTGTTTTTGAAAATTTGTTTTTTTTCAAATTTTTTTTCGTTTCCAGTCATGTATCATATACCAATAGTAATTATAATTGTACAACATTATCTGGAAATTAAACAAAAATCATTGAAAACACGAATCAAACATTATCATCAACAATTATTTGCCGATAAATCTAGAATTCATCATAAATTTTTCTGGAAATGGCATTTTGGTAAAGCAATTAAAGATATTTTATCAATATATGAACAACAATTAAAAGAAATTCATATTCATAATAAACAATTAACAAAAATTTTATCAATTTTATTCACATCATTAATATGGTTTTTTACATATGGACTTAATATTATATGTTTGATTCCATTATCAAAAGAATTTTTATTTCTTTATGTTACAATTACATTAGCTCATTTAACAGTATTAATTATGTTGATTAATAGATGTTCAAGAATTGAACAACAAAATCATAAAATACTTCGATTGAAACAAAAATTTCAAATACATTCTAGTTTTGAAGGTGGTATGTTGAGTGTTAAAAATTCTATCAAGGTAATATTATTATTTCCAATCTTTGATTCAACAAATTTTTTCAATTTTCTTTTTTTCTTTTCAGTTAAATGGAATTATTAGTGCATTTGTAGATCGTTCATTTGGTTTTGAATTAATCAATGGTGTTTGTATTAGACAAATTACATTTATAAAAGTAAGTTTTTTTGATTTGTTTCATTTCAAAATTTAAAATTTCATTCCATTTAATTTCAATAATATCAAATAGGTTTTTACAAACATAAGCTTCTTTTTCTTTTTAATAGCTCCACATGTTATACGATTTCGTGAACAACAACGAACAATGAATTTAGAATTGTCAATGTAAATCGTCTATGAATCATATATGTAGAATTTGTGGTAAAAACGATTGATGGGAGACTTTTTTGAATTACAAAAAAGAAAATTTTCAATTCAAATTTTTTCTTCCTTTCTTTCTTTCATTCATTTTTGTTCCTTAATACAAAACACGTGACATAATATCTCATATAGGAAATTAAATCGGATTTTTTTTTTTAGTTACTATTATTTCTTGGAACGATCCATTCTATTTTTCCCTTACAAATACAACATTCAATATGATGATCATCCTTGAAACCATCACCACCACCACCACCCCCTCAAAAAAAAAAAAATAAATAATAATGTCATTGTCGAAAATTGATCATTTTGATGGACTTTTTCTTCGTTTCTTTGGTTTTGTTTTCAATAATAATAAAAAAAAATCAGGATATCGTGGTTATTGTATCACAACCAAGAAAAAAAACCAATATAAAAGTGATCCATCATCATACAAAAAACAACAACAACAAATTGATGACATTTTCTCAAAGTTGCTGAGTTTGATTTTTCTACCATTTTCAATTTTCAAAATATTTTGTATATATAATAACCAACTGCTTAGACGGAGAACAAAAAAAAATCAATTTAATTTGTTTCAGTTTGTTTCTTTTTCAAAATTTTTCCCAAAAAACTTATTCAAAATTTTTATTTTTTTTTTTTTATTTTATTTTTTTTTTTTTTATTTTATTACAAAAAACCCTTATACCTAAAAAATAAGGGTAAAAAACAAAAACAATCCAGAAAAAAAAAATAAAAAAATAAAAAAATACAATGAGTTAAACAACATCAAAAAAAGAAATAATAATAATAATAATAATAATAACATAAATAAAGAGAGAGAGAGAAGAAAAAAACAATAATCAAATTACACTAAGGATGTTTTTACAAAAGATAGAGAATTCAAAGGAAAAATTTTTAATGATAATGTTCATATTCGATTGATCTAAATTGATATGTATTTGGTTTGAAAAATCCTGACGAAGTGTATTGAACTTTTCACATTCGAATAAGAGATGTGAAGAATCTTGATTACATTGGCCACATAGACATGATGAATCATTGATCAAGTTAAAACGAAATAAATAAGATTTCAATTTGCCATGACCAGAGATCAGCTGTGTGGTATCAAAATTCGGAAAAAAATTTTTACATTCAATACGACTTTTGACAGACGGGAAGAAGATTTTTGTATTCAGGCCAGTCATAGATCCAATCCATCTTTGCTGCCACTCAAAGACAGCAGCTTCTTTACAAATTGAACGAATAAATGACAAGGGAATAGTATTATAAGAAACAACTTCTAATTGCGTTGCATCTTTTGCGTTGATATCAGCAATTTCATTACCAATTATTCCAGAATGACCCCGTATCCATTCGAAACAAATATGTGCTGTAATTTTCAATTTTTCATATATGGAATTAAAAAGATCGGTTTTTACACCAAAATTTTTACATGCTAACAAGACAGATTTGGAATCAGAATAAATTTTTGCCGGACAATTACGATTTGATAACCAACAAATAGCTTTATAGATGGCCAACAACTCTGCCTGAAAGACAGTGCAGGTATTAGCCAATCTGAACTTTTCGACATATACAGGAATATTTTCATCATCTTCAAAAACCACAAATGCTCCACCCACACGACCATCGATTTTCGAACCGTCCGTAAATATTTTCATTTTATGTTGAATTTGACAAGAATCAATATCACCATCAGAATAGTTAAAATACTGTATCAAATTTGGATCAAATAAACAAGTACGATCAATGATAATTTCATTTAAAAATGGATCGACAAAAGAACCGCTTCTTTTAGCAACGTAAATTTTTGATAGCATCTTAGCTTTGATATCTATAGGCAGAATATTTGCAATTATAAATGAAGCCGAATACGAAATCGTTCGATATCCTTTTATCATACTAATGGCAAAAAGCCTTTGTATTGATAACAATTTTTGGCAGTTACGTTGAATATCAATAGCCTTGATCCAAGTTGAACAAGCATACAATAAAACAGGCTCGATAGCCATAAGATAAATGGTCCTCAAAACGGAATAAGAAAGTCCCCACCGGGAACCAAATTTCCGTCTCAATACATTATAAATCTTCAATACTTTTGCCGAAACATATTCCAAATGTTTACTCCATGTTAATTTTCCATCCAGAAACACACCCAAATATTTCATATTAGATACAATAGGAATTTCAAAATTATTCATTTTTAAACGAGAAACCGTATCGTATTTTCTTTTCCTAGTTACAATTAAAGCAGTTGATTTATTCGGATTAAATTGCAAAAAATTTTCATTTCCCCATGACCAGATTGCATTCAATGATTCATTAATTAATTTAAAACATAACGAAGAATTATCATGATGACAGAATAGAATTATATCGTCCGCAAAAGCTTGTATATAGCAATTTGATGGTAAAGGCAATTTCAAAAGATCATCGATTAAACAATTCCACAATATAGGCGATGATTTACCTCCTTGAGGACAGCCAGCAGACAAAATTTTTCTAGCTTCACAATTAAACATAGGTAAAATTACCTCACGATTTTTGAAAAAATCCACAAAAACACGATAAATTTTTGTTGGTACGTTAAAAAATCTTAACCGTTGACAGATTACGTCAAAATTTGCATTATTGAACGCACCAGCAATATCAAGTGAAACAATTATACCGAAAGAACGATTTTCCAGTACCATCTCCATCTTTTTAGTTATTTCACTTATTGCATCAACTGATGATTTACATGGCAAGAATGCGAATTGTTTATCAGACAATTTTCCATTCGATAATAAATAATATTGTAACCTACGCGAAACAATACCTTCAAATATCTTCCCAATCACCGGTAACAAAGAGATGGGTCTGAAAGATTTAAACGTGCATTCATTCGATTTTTTGGGTAATAATTTAACAATGGCCTTTTTCCAACAAATTGGAAAAATACCAAAATCATAACACTTGTTAAAAAGACGATGCAATAAAGACGGATAAATTTCATGAACAATTTTTATAATATTAGCTGATAATGCATCATAACCAGGTGATTTATCATCTTTTTCAACTTTAATTGCATTATCAACTTCATCAACGGTAATTGGATAATCGATAGTTGTTGCATCATAATAAACATGAATTGATGAATTTAATTCATTCACGCCATCTGGGAAAAAATTTTCTAAAAAATGATTCGCTGTTTCCATGGAAGAATTTGACCAACGATTACCGATTTTAATGGATTTAAGTGTAAAATTAACGTCACTATGATTTTTACATTCACGATAAACTTTTTTCCAAACAGAATCTGAAGTTTGAGTAGACAAAAAATCACGACACTTTTGAGTTTGCCAATTTATCAAATCAGATTTGAATAATTTTAGCAATTCAATATATCGCAATTTCCAGGATTGTCTAACTATTAAGCAGCGTTGACGTTGAAATCTTCGACGTACAGAATTTAAGATTGATTTTTGTTGCCTCAGTTTTAAAGGTAATCTGAATTTTGATGGTTTATTTTGAATTTTATCCAACGAATTTTCACAACAATAATTAATTTTCATCATCAAATCATCAACAAAATCATTAAGCTCTGAAGAATCCGAAATATTATCCAATTGTTCAATAAAAGAATTTAAAGATAATGAAGAACGAAACAATGACCAATCAATATTTTTAGTACAATATTTACGAGTTAAAGATTTTGGAATAAATTCACCATCTGAATTATATACAAATGAAATAAGTCTGTGGTCCGAGAATGATTCGCAGTCTTCAACTGCCCAAAAATTAACGAACCTAGATGCTTTTTGGTTGACCATCGTTAAATCAATATGACTTTGAGTACGATTATTATCATAAGTAATGGAACCATCATTAAGAATAATCAAATTATTACTTGAAACAAAAGCCATAAGTAGATCACCACGAGAATTATTATCATTACTTCCCCATAGACGATGATGGGCATTCCAATCTCCAGCAATAATAATTGGATAATTATAATAATCAACAAATAATTCTTCTAACAGATGAAATAAATTATTCAACTCATCTTCAGAATCGTTGTAAGATGAATAAATGGAACATAAAACAAACGGATGTTCAACATTCACCAATACAGCAACACAAGAAGATGTCACGAATTTTGATAAAGCCATAATACCAATTGAATTTGAAATAATTGCACATCGAGCCCCAAAATCAGTACAAACAATTGTTTTGTTATTAAAACCACCAATACCACCACCATAATTGTATGGCTCTTGAATACAGAAGATTAATGCATTTAAATTGTCAGAGTTATCCACAAATGATAATGTTGATTTTAAGCTATGTTGTAAATTTTGCTGAACAATTTTTAAAGAATTAAAGGCCATAATCAATAGATTCATTCAATCTTTTTTCCGCTAAAACATATTGTGGACAACTTTTACTATAGACAGAATGATCAATTGGTATGATGTTATTATTTCCTCGAATACTTTTGTTCTTCCAATCACAATTATAACATTTGGTGATTCCATTTTCATCTTTAGCTGGACAATCATTAGATTCATGATTCTGGTGACAATAATGACAAACCGGATCATTTTTACAATTATTAGTCACATGACCGAAACGTAAACATTTGAAACATTGTGATACATAATTTCCTTTTTTAACATTGCAAACTTTATGGCCAAGAAAAACTTGTCCCATTTGCAAGCACAGATGATATATATTTGGCGATACAGAAAGAACAAAAAAATTGGTACCAATTCGATCCGATTTTGAAATAACCACTTCAATAGATTCTCCTTCATTTTGTAAGCAATTTTTAATATCATTATTTTGAGTTGTCAAAATATCGATGAAATCTTTCTCAAGGATTTCTTTTTCCACACCTAGAATCAATAATCTTGGTTTCTTTTTTTCAGGTACTTTTGCCTTAAGACCACAATTCAGATCATTAATAATGTTACCGACAGCAGTACAATCAGCCTTTGAAGGACATTTAATCAAAACTTTCTTATTACGTATCGGCACTTGTTTGATTATTTTGATTTTATTATCAACAATCATTTTGCAATCTAGCTTACTATTAAGATAAGATAGAGTTTGTTTTGAATCGTTAATTGATGAGTCCACTGCATCGACAATACATACGAAATCTGGTTTTGGCATTGGTATATTATTGGATGATACGACAGAAGCATATGTCCTTTTGCTTGCACGTTCTTTAGCCAATTCTTCTACTTTCAACTGTAACTCTTTCTCAATAACGGATTTATCATCTTTTTCCTTCTTTAATAGATCAGTAGCCAATTTATTTTCTCTTTTCAAAGCATTTATAGTTTCAGTAAACTTATGAAAATCACGATCAATTGCTTTAAATTGTCTTGACAAACCAGCGATAAATGACTCGTAAAAAATAGAGAATTTACCAAAATCATCTTTAAAATGGTTAATTCCAGTATTGCCATGAATCGAATTAACATTCTTAAAAAACTTTATCCATTTATTATATTCTTCGTAATTCTCATGGAAAAAAGACATTTTTAAAAAAAAATTTTTTTTTTTTTTTTTTGTTTATGTTGTTCACTCAATCGACTATTTCGACCTTGATTATTAAGATAATTGAAACCGATTGGGAAAACATAAAACATTCATATCCATTATCATCGTTTTTTTTGTGCATGATGATGATGATCGAGAGAAAAAGAAGAAAATATTCATTCACCATGTGACTGAAAACAAATTAGAATTGAAAATATAAATATCAACAATTCGCAAAGGATTTGAACAATATTTTTCAAATTCTTTTTCTTATTGATTTTTACCATCATCTTCATCTTTTACCGGTAATCACAAATTAAATCAAATGAAAAAACTTTCTGGAAATTGTTTTTTTCAAACAAGAAATTTTTCGAAAAAAAATGATGATAATTTACTTTTGTTTTATGTTTTAGATAAAAATGATTCATAATTGAATTGTTGTTGTTTTTGTCATAGATCAAACACAAGTTTATCATCATCATCCTTATCATTTCTAATGAAGAAAGAATCAATTTCCTGTACTACAAAAAAAAGGAAAAAAAAATCCGATTGACTAGTCAGATATATGACATTCGGTGTTTATCAAGTATATGTTTACTTGATGAAAATCATTGATGATTTCTATTCATTGAATTGATAGAAAACAAAAACAAAAAGATTAAAAAGAGAGAAAAATTTCCGGGAATTTTCTTCACATTTTCTCATTTCCGCTGTCTGATTTTGTTTTGTTTTTCTTTCTGATTCAGTTCAGTTTGATAGGAAATTTATTTCTCATTTACCGTTTCAATGAATTTTCTCCGAAAAATAAAAATCCATTCAAAACCAAACAAAATCTTTAAAGAAAAAATAACGTATCAATCGAAATTCATCAATTTCCCCGGAATTTTTCTCACTTTGTTGACCAACAACAACAACGACAACATCGAAAAATATGTCAACCAACAAAAAATAACAACATCGATTGAAATGAAATTGATTATACAAAAAAAATGACATTAAAAATCATTGATGATAATGATGATGATGACAAATTGAATTAGCTTTTNAAAAAAAAAAATAATGCGATAAATATAAAAGATCTGTAGATCAAAATGATTGTCATTGATAATCTCATTCAAATCGACAAACCAACAAGATAAAAAATTGACAACAAAAATGAAATCTACATTGATTTTTTCAACAATTTTAATGGCCATCATTTTGATCAATCAATTTGATTCAATTCAATCGGCCAATATTAGAACTAAAAGATCAATTTGGGATCTAATAACAGTAAGATTTGAAATGATTTTTCATTTTTGTAATTGTTCATTTTATAAAAAAATGTTTTTTTTTTCAGCTTCCTATAGATTTAATTCGAGTATCCGACAAACTCTATAGAGGATGTGCTAAAAATGAAGATACATCCGATTCACATTATCGTGTATTTTGTCATGATATAATGAAAGAAATATGGAATATTGATGATGATTCAGATATCGATGATGAAACTTTGAATTATTGTTTATTACCATGCAAAGCTATACATTTTCTTTCTTTCTTTTTGAGATTTTAATATTTTCGAATTCAAAAATGATTATTTGTTTTTAATTAAAAAAAAAAAAATAAAATAAAACCACAGTTTAAAAAAAAAATAAACCTATTGATAACATTAATTTATAACGGTTGTTCAAAAATTTTATCAGATAAATCATCATTTGTGAACATAGATTACAGTTATGATCATCATTATCATCATCATCATCGATGTTAATGATGCTTTTCAAAAAGTTTTTGCAAAACAAATTCCATTTGAAAAAAATTTCCATCATTTGGAATGCAAAGAAGTAAAAAAAAATCTTCCTATAAATATGAAACATCTACAGATTTCCAAATGTTGTTGTATTAATTGATTGATCAATTTGTAATCGCATTCAAATCGACAAAACAAATCGAAAATGAAATCCACGCATATTTTATCATTACC